TTAACAACAACAAAAATATTCAAATTGGATCCTTCTCTGTATTATAATCAAGCTGAGAAAACTGGTATCTTCCTAATTTCTGATTCCTTTCTTCCTCTGTGAACTTACAACTAGCCCTGCAGACATATCCATTTATTTCTATCAATGATGTTTCTGCTAAAAGTTCCCTGGAGCATCCCCATGTGAGCAGAGCTAAAGGATCAAACAAGTTAGTGGACCTATGAAGCTTCAAAAGGCTTCAGATTGCTCCAAATTCCAGAGCAATCCCCTTACAAAAGTCTTTAAACACACACACACACACACACACACACACACACACACACACACACACAAACAAACAAAAACTTTAGATATCAATGAGGGCTTCCAACTCTTACCTTCGATGTTTTAGGCCAAATTTTATGCTATAACCAATGTCCTCCCTAATCTCCATTGGTCATAAGGGAAAGGTAAAAATCAAAGACAACAGTACTCAAAACACACTCAATCTTAAACACTTTAGACCTAAGGCCTTAGGCATTCCCTATCTATCATAGAAAAAGAGTGGAAAAACAATTTATTTGGGGAAGACAGTCCAATTTTGATCTCTCAATTGTTGGGATTTAACAGTGAACTTCCCTAACTGGGATCCCTGACAAGAATGTCAAACTTGGAACCAGCGGGGCCACATGTCTCATGGGTCTTTGCAACATAGATCTACACTAAAATACACTCTACTGCTTAATATTAAAATATTTGCAACAATATTAATTCTATCAGAGACATCAAGGATCAAAACAAGCCTCTTTAGTCTCTCCCCCAACTACAAGACCAGAGAATAAACCTCTCCCTTCAAGTAGTCTGTGTACACCTTCTTTACCCCCCTACCATTCTGGACTAGTGGTAGCAGCAGCCCAACACTGACACCTGCTGGGGAAATCCAAGCAAGGGTTTGTACTTTACTGTGATAATCAACTCTAAAATGTCACAGCTCTTTAAAAGTAGAAGACACCAATTAGCACCTGTCTGTCTTAGTGACTTATACTAGAATGTAGCCACTCAATTTATGAAGAAGTGGTGGCCCTTCTATAAAGGGTGTACACTTACAAATTTTAAAATATACCTCATTTTTTAGTAGAATATCAGCATTCATGGTATACCTCATTTTAGCTCATCTAAAAGTGACTCCTTAAATAATGTAACTAACAGTATTAATATACAATTTTACAATAACCATACATTCCTAAAATTTTCGATTTTTTAAAGCGTATATGTAAAATTGTTTACAAGATGACAAGGGACTTCATTTTCTACAATATACATTTTTAAATGCTACCGTGTTTCCCCGAAAATAAAACATCCTCCAAAAATAAGACCTACTTACAGGTTTCCTTCTGAGTGAAATATAAGGCAACCCCCCGAAAATAAGGCCCCCCTAGGCTCTGTCTCAGAATGAAAATTAATTTACCGTAAACTTTGTGAAACCTAAAATGCAAGAAGTTGTGACTTGGGTGAAGAATTCATGGGAGAAAATCATTGACAGTTGCATTGCAAATGCAAGCAGGCTACCTTGACAAGAAGTACTCATTTAAAGACAGTGCTATTGCTAAATATGAGAGATTTGGTCCACTGATTCTGAAAGAAATGGAGTCATAAGAATTTCACCAGAAAATTCAGGAATTGGATTGTTATGATGTTCCAGAAGATGATGACATGATTGTCATTGAATAAATAAGTAAATTCTTGATACTGTAGGATTCACAGTTTGTCTGGTTTGTGTTCACAACTACCGTACTACCGTACCATATACAGGAAATAAATTTCCTTTATTTTCATTTAACAATAAATGTGTACCGTATTCTTCTTCATGGAAAAATAAGACATCCCCTGAAAATAAGACCTAGCGCATCTTTGGGAGCAAAAATTAATATAAGACACTGTCTTATTTTCGGGGAAACAGGGTAGAACTTTATTTAAACCACAAACATAGTACTTTTTCTCTACAAAAATTTTTGGTAGATCCTCAATAGTTTCTGGATTTTATTTTATTTTTTAAATCCCCACCCGAGGATATGTTTTTATTGATTTTAGAGAGAGATACATCAATCATTTGCCTCCTGCATATGCCCGCCTAGAGATCAGGCCAGTGACCTAGGTATGTGTCCTGACTGGGAATCGAACCCAAACCTTTTGGGTGTACAGGACGATGCTCCAACCAACTGAGCCACCCAGCAAGGGCAGTTTCTGGATTTTATTTACTTATTTAAATGGGGTTTTAATTGATTTTTTAGAGAGAGAGAGAGGGGAAGGAGAGATATGAACATCCCTGAGATGAAAACATCGATCAGCTACCTCTTGTATACCCACAAGCTGGCATGTGCCCTGACTGGGAATCAATTCGTTGACCTCTTGGTGCCTGGGACAATGCTTATCCAACTGAGCAACACTGGTTGGGCCAGTTTCTGGATTTTAAATCGGCCTGCTTTATTAAGAAGTAATCATTAATATTTTAGTCACATATGGCTACTTACATTTAAATTAAATTTTTAAAATTTAAATGAAGATCCTCAGATAACATTAGCTGCATTTCAAACTTTTTGAATGGCTTCTATATGCCAGGAACTGTGCTTACTAACTTCTCAGCTCTCCTGACAAAGAGGAAGAACAGAATCCACATTTGGCTAGTGGCTACTGTCCTGAACAGCACATATATATAATATCTCATCATTTAGAAAGTTTTGTTGGATAGCATTTCTCTAGAGAAACACGTTGGATTATTTTCAGACAAAATTATATAACACCTACGTGGAGGATTGGATAGGGGACAAAAATCAAAGAAGGCTGCCAAATATTAATGTTTTGAAATCATGTTTATTATACTTTTCATTTTTATATATTTAAATATTTTCATAATAAAAAGTTAAGAGAAAGGAAAATAAATTAAAAAATGGTTTGCCTAAAAATGAGGTTATCCCATTAGGAATATATCATGGAGGGCAGCTTGGAAAAATCTTTAGTCATCAAACCAGAGATCAAATCCCTACTTGACCTATTATGGGACCTTTAACAAGACACTGAACTCCCCTAAGCCTCACTTTCTTCAACTGTAAGATGGGAAATTTAATACCTGCCTTGCACAAAGTTGTTTTGGGAAATAGAAATAATTCATGCAAAGCAAGAACATAGTACCTAACACATAGTAGGCCCTCAGTAACTGATATCTCTATTATCTAATAGCAGAGTTTACTTTAAGCCAGTCAGGTATTTCTTTTTAAATCACTTAGGTATTTCTCAGAACAACAATAAAGAGGTCCTGTTGGAAGAGGGTGGACAAAGGCTGAGCAGAAGCCCATTGTTGCTATGGAAACGTGCACTGGTAGGCTTTCAAAGCAGTAAATGAAGACAGTCCCTTTGTGGCTACCTTTAATAAACTTTTTGAATGCCTTCTATACGTCAGGAACTGTGCTTGCTACCTTCTCAGCTCTCCTGACAAAGAGGAAGAACAGAATCCAAGGCTCCAAATGTAAGGTAAAATATTCCAAAGCTGGAATTTTGGAAATGTTAATTCAGAACTGGCCTCAATCTCAGGGGCATAGCAACAACCTCTATTTTTTTTATCTTTTTTTTTTATTTTTATGTCCAACCAAGTTTCCCTGTTCCCTTTAAGAACCACCTACTATCTTGCATACATCATGTCCTTCATCCCCTAGTATAGACTGTTCCCCTAAAATAAAAAAGTTCTCTCTGTCTCTAAATCCCACCCATCTTTCAAGACTTGATTTTGTAAAGCTTTCTTTGCTTCTTCCCTTTTTCTGAAATTAAAACTACATTTAATCTCAGTAACATCAATAAAGCATTCCGTTCTCTACATTTTTTTATATACTTGCATGTAAATAAGACTTGCCTCTACAATAACAATGTATACTCCCAGTGGGCAAAAACCGGGTATTTGCTTCTTTTGGGTTCCTCACAGTGCCTAGGACAGTTCTGAAACAACTGTAACCATTCAACAAATCCTTATTAACTCTCTGAAGCATCCTCACAAAATAACAAGTGCATTATATGCACAATCCATATTCCCTCCCTTGCTAGAACCTTATGTCAGAGAAATTTCAGTGGCTTAAACAGAAGATATAATGCAGAGCAATATGCTGCTTGGATCCAAAAGGCAGATTCTGAGAGTTGGTGATTACACTACATCTGACCTTTACAGAATTGCAGAAAGAAGACCCTAATAAATCAAGATAGATGCACACACAGCCACATTTGAACATATGTGGCTGTGTGTGATACCCACTCAGTTCTTCCATAAAACAGCTGCCTGAGATGCTGATATGAGTATGGAAAACCCTTCCATCTACGTATTCTGCTTTTTCCCCACCCCAAGGTTATATCCATCTAGAAGATCTACTCAAAAAATCTTAACTAAGCTACTAACTTGCTGTCCAAAAAACATATTTATCTCAAAAATTATGAACTATTTTCAACACATATATATTATTTTTCCTTTCTATCAAGCTGCATTGCTCCAAAAGATAAGATTTAAGAGATGAACACAAAGCAACACAAGAAGAGCCAATATAATAATCTGTCCCAAGCAGGGTTCTCTTTTACTACTAATTTCTAGACATACTGGGACATTTTCTTGTTTCACAATAACTAGCTCTGAATATACAATCCTTCAAGAAGGTAAAAAAGGCAGAGGATGTCAATGGTTCCATCTCCCCTTCAACTCCTCATGGTCCTCTAACCTAATCTATACTCTTCTTTAGGGTTAAAGGTCACAAGAGCTGAACCAGAAAAGGAGCTAGCAGAGCCCACTGACTCATACCGCTAGGCCCTATCTTCCCTCCACCAACAGAGCAAGACTTTCCAAGAAGATGCAATGGAAGCAGGGAGAGCCGAACCAAATGCATGGGTCTCAGACACTCCAGATCCAGCCACAACAGCTGTAAGACTAAAGGAAGAGATATAAGGAGAAAAGTAAGGGATGTAAGAGAGGACAGGAAGCACCTGCTTACCTCCTGAGTGAATCTTCCTCAGAGCTTTCCTCAGGCATATCCTGATGTAAGGCCTCCTGTGATACAGTTCCAGTTCTGCTGGACTGAGTGTAAATTCTTTCCCAGTGGCCTGTCTCCTGATTGAAGGCCACCCCCACAGTTCTCTCCTCCTGCGGACTAGCAGAGCTGCTCAACTCCAGCCTGCTGGAGCTGGGCGTATGGCCCTCAGTCCGCTCAAGAGGTGGTAATTGGCTGCCACTCGATGGCATGCCCTCAAAAGTACTGGAGACCTGCCAGGAGGAGCTGGTCTCGCCCGAGGAGTAGTTAGGTGTGGTTCTTTCCCAACGCAGGGTATCGTTGTTAAAGGTTAGCAGATTGTGGCAAGCACGACAGTGATTCAGATGACCACGGGACAGGTTGGAGTTATTCTCACTGCTGTGTGGGGTGGGCTGGTGGGAGGGGCCTGGCCTCTCAGATTCAATGTTATTATTGAGCATTTCCTGGGCCTGTTGGGTCTGGGGGGGTTCCCCATTCAGGCTCTGGTCCAGCTCCTGAAGCCGGTCATACTCCAAAAAGAAGCGTCTCAGGTCACATGGAAGATCATGGCGAATGCTGCCTGAGTTGTTTTGGCTGGAGCCATTCCCTCCATCCGACTCAGTTGCCAACCCTGAAGCTGGAAAACCCCTCCCTTCTGTGGCTGAAGTGTACACAGATGCTTGAGAGCCACCTTCCTGCTGCCTCAGCACAGACAGCAAAGTCACCGAAGAGGCACTGGTCCTGGGCGGGGGCATGGATTCCGCCTCAGAGCGGGAGTTCAGATTGAGCACTGTCCGGGTCCATTCAGATCCTGTCAGTCCGGAAGCGATTTCTCGGTGATACCTAGAAGCGTGGCTAGACAAAGGGCCTCCCAAGGAGCGACGGGTGGGACCCAGGCTGAGGTTGCGGAGCGTGTTGCCGGCAGTGCTGCTCTGGACTGTACTGAAGGCAGATGGCCGGTTCAGGAGGCCCTGGTCTTGCTGCGTTGATGAGGCCTGCTCCGGGGGATGGAAGGGCTCGGTCTGTACAAAAGAAAAGGAAGGGGTAGTAGCCCTGGCAGAAGCAGGGGGAACACTGTCCTGGTGTGGCAAGAGGGAAGGAACTCGAGTGCCAGAGCAGCGGCTGCAAAGGCACAGGATCCCAAGGTGCTGGCAGCACTCAGCTGTGGGGTAACTGACCCGCTGTCGGAGCCTGATGTAAGCGGAAGTCCTGGGGCGCTCCATGGAGGGCTGAGGGGGAGGCGGTAGGGGTGAGGGGGTAGCAGGCTCTTGCACTGTGCTTTGCTCTCCCACCTGGATGCCAGAGGAGCGAGAGGACAGCATGTGCAGGAAATTGTGGAGGAGAGGCGTCCGACGAACTGGCTGTGATTGCAGGAGGGCTCGCTGTCGGTAGTGAGATAATTCTGTTCCATCTATGGGGATCTCTGGTTCATCATCACCCTGCAGCATGGACCAAGGTGGGATGGACAGTTAGGTAGAACCTCCAGGTAAATCAAGAAAATTATTGATAATCATCCAAGAAAAATTTCACAGACAAGCAACAACTCCACCTCTGAAGTGCTGAGAGCTGGCTTCAGATTCAGAATCATCATATGGTATTAAAGTATTCCCTTCCAATTAGCAACATTTCTGAATGAGTACAGCTGGCAAACCAATTCTCTTAAAAAAAGACATCTTCATAACACAGAGGCAGTGAGGGAAAGCAAAATGTTAACCAGCCAGAGGCACATGAATGACAATCTATCCAATACTGCCTAGTTACTTCTAATGATGGAATCACTTGGGTTTCGGAATTGATACCCTGTTATGATTATGGCTATAACTCTGTATACAATCTGAAACTAGTTTTGAATATTGATTGGAGAGAAACACTTGGGCATTGAAAATTAAAGTCTAATACAATTAGAATTAGAACACTATTTTAGAAAATAAGCCATAATTTAGATGGAGTTGGAATGCTGACTAACTTACCTGCTGATTGGAGGGGTTAACAATTGCTGTAAGTAAGTAGTGTCCAAGAGGATCAAATCTCACCAGACTGAAAATAGAAGAAGAAAGAGACAAAGACATGCACAGAGATTATGCTGAGAAAAGGAAACATGTGTATAAACTTATAGCAATCAATACTGTAATATCAGATTAGTTAGGTACTCACTTCACCCTAGAGACTTGCAAAACTTTCAAAGAGATTAAAATAATAAAGTTTAATACTTCTTGTTATCTCCTTATACTTGCCAAAATAAAGGGATTTGCATCACAAAATAATTACGAAAAATACCTAGACTTCCATTCCAGGAAGCAGCTATATTAAGCGTACATTTGCTCATATATACGAGCTCATCAAAATAGCAAAGCATAAAATGCTCCTGTACTCTACCACAAGTTCAGTTCCTCCCTCATATGGTAGCTACACTGGCAAGAAGCATGAGTTCTGGTGACAATGAACAGTTTCAGAGTAACTTACAGAGTCTATAAGCTAGACTAGACTAGCTTATATCCAACTCTAATACCAAGAGAACCAAAGGAAAACTGCATCAGCTTTAATTCAGGCAATGTGTGTTTTCATTTTGAGGGCTAAATAAATATCAAGTGGCATATTTGATGCATACTTACATCTCCCTCTTGCAGTTTGATAAACATAGATATCTAGGGATAAGCAATTATCCATCAAGCTTCCCACAACCTGAATACCTTTCAGATTTCTCAAAAAAGGGGGTTCTTCCAAACCCAGATAGCTTTGAACCTATCAAAAAAGATTCTAATGACCCGTTTTCAAAGACCAGAAGATAGGCCAATAATGAACAGCTGAAATAAACATAATTAACTACTTCCTAGCTGATTGGCCAACTGCTTAAAAGGTAGGAGGAGCACCCTGGCCAGTGTGGTCAGTTGGCTGGGCATGGACCTGTGCACTAAAAGGGTGCCGGTTGGATTTCCAGTTAGGGCACATGCCTAGGTTGTACGCTCTATCCCCAATAGGACGTATGCAGGAAGCAGCAATTGATGTTTCTCTCTCTCTTCCTCTCTCTAAAAATCAATAAAAATTCTTAAAAAAAAAAAAAAAAGGTAGAAGGAGCTATAGGGATAACAATCTATCTCTCAAGGTGAAACCAAGTGTAATGTTCTCTACCATGCTAATCCTATGCCAGACATCACTGGTGGACAGAGGACTCACCGGACTCGTTCCATCTCGCTAGCTGTCTTCACCACAGCAAAGGGCTCCCTTCGGCTCCAATCCCAGAAGTGGATCTCATTCGCAGTGGCAATCAGAAGGAGCTGAGCCGTAGGGTGGAAAGCCAGAGAGGCAATGGCATTGTTGCTATCTGTGAACCAGCTTTCACTGCCACCCTATGAACAAATCAATCCCAAATATTCTCAGGTTATTACCAACTGCCAGCAAACTGAGATGTCAAATTCTCAAAAGGTCCATATTTAAGGTAAAATTACTATGGCAGGGCATACTTTAAATATGTTCTCTGTAAAACGACGGAGAAAATCAGTGATTAAGCAGTGTCACCAATTTACCAGAAAAATATTACTGACAAAACCAGTTTGGCTCAATGGATAGAGTGTCGGTCTGAGGACTGAAAAGTCCCAGGTTCGATTCCGGTCAAGGGCATGTACATTGGCTACGGGTACATCCCCGGCAGGTGGTGTGCAGGAGGCAGCTGGTTGATGTTTCTCTCTCATCGACATTTCTAGCTCTCTATCCCTCTTCCTTCCTCTCTGTGGAAAATCAATAAAATATATTTTTTTTTTTTAAAAGAAAAGAAAGCCGAGACCGGTTTGGCTCAATGGATAGAGCGTCGGCTTAGGGACTGAGGGGTCCCAGGTTCGATTCCGGTCAAGGGCATGTACCTTGGTTGCGGGCATATCCCCAGTAGGGGGTGTGCAAGAGGCAGCTGATTGATGGCTCTCTCTCATTGATGTTTCTAACTCTTATCTCCCTTCTTCTCTGTACAAAATCAATAAAATATAAAAAATAAATAAATAAATAAATAAAAAAGAAAAATATTACTGTCAACTCAGTTCTCCAAGTCTTCTACAAGCTACCAGAAATGAGCATCAGTAAAGCTTCTGTTTCTGAAGCCGGGGAAAGCTCAAGCTTGGTTCATGACATAGTGTATAACCCACTAGCCACTCACTAGGACAAGGAGTATATTGCTTTGATGATCATGATCAGAGTACAGTATAATCCTTGCTATAAGGCAACTAAAATCCATCCTGAACACATCTTAGAGCATGGTCGGATGGAAAAATAGTTAAATAGGGCATTCATCACAGAATGGAGGCTAGGCTTGCTATCATTTAAGTGGGAAAAGACTACCACTTACTTGGATGTAGTGATAAGAACCTGGCTAGTCTCTCCTCCAGAATTAAGAACCCAAAGTAAACAAGTCTCTGAAACAAGACGACAAAATACTTACGTGTAAATCCCAAATCCTAACCTCCCCATCCAGGCAGCCAGAAGCAATAAGGCCTGAGATGGTGGGATGGAAAGTGACACACCATGGAGTGCGACGGTGTCCAATCAGAGAATGAACACACTTGCCCGTCTTCACCTCCGTAATATAGATATTATGGTTCACATGGGTGGAGGCCAAGAGAGTCCTAGGAAATCAGAGTACAAAGTCAATATGAAGCATGTGGGAGGGGAACAAACTAGCAGCTTTGGGTGACACAGAAAATTGATACTATTACCCATCTCAGGACAAAAAAACTACACGTCGGGCATTACAAACAGCAGAAATATTCTGATCTTTAAAAGCTTCTGAATTCTCCACATTATCTCCAAATAAACAAAACCCCTTCAGAGAAAATTTTTTTCTAGCCGGGAAACTATCACACCATTGGTGGCCTATATTGCAGATGCAAGGGATGATTATTAAAAAACTTTCCAAGTTTTGTCCTTCGATGTTATTAGTTTTCTTTGCTTATTCCTATTATTTCTATGGTTAGAACTGTTCATCTACTTTCTTTCCCTTTCTGATACACTGTCAAAGTTCTGTTTATACAGTGCTTCAAAGAGCCTTTAGGGGTTGACTTGGAGGATTAAGTTAGGTCAAATACACAGAAAGCAATGCTATCATAAGTCTTAAGTAATAGATAAGTACTAGATACCTGTCTGGGCTGAAGGCCAGTAAGAAGGTAGAGCGTGGACTATCAGGCAGTTCTACTCTCTGGGAAACAGACAAAAAAAGTTTTAAAACATTATTTATTTATTTATTTACTATTTTTATTTATTTTTTATTATTAAATTATTATCTGTGTACATACTTTAAATTGTCACCCCTCCCATATATACTCTCCCTCCCCAGAGTTTTGTGTCCATTGATAAAAACATTATTTATAAACTATGGCCCACTCTACCTCAAAAATACACAAACCTATCTAGATTAGTATTTACAGTGTAAATTTACAAACTGGACATAATGATGAAGATGCAAACTGAGAAAGACAAATCTAAATTAGCTTTAGAAAAAATGTCTAACTGTAAAGAAAAAAGGTACTTCTAGCGCATAAGTCCTTCCAAACTTGTTTTACCAAACTCCCCTGCCCGGCCCTAGCTGGTTTGGCTCAATAGGGGTCCGGGCTCAATTCCAGTCAAGGGCACATGCCGCGTTTGTGGGCTTGATCCCCAGAAGGGGGCATGCCTGAGGCAGCTCATCGATGATTCTCTCTCATCATTGACGTTCTACCTTTTTCTCTCCCTTCCTCTCTGAAATCAATAAAAAATTATTATTTTTTTTTTTTTTAAAACCTCCCTGCCCAGCTGGTGTAGCTCAGTGATTGAGTGTCAACCTTTGAACCAGGAGATCACAGTTTGATTCCCAGTCACATGCCTGGGTTGTGGGCTCGGTCCCCAGCAAGGAGCGTGCATGAGGCAGTCGATCAATGATTCTCTCTCATCATTGATGTTTCTGTATCTCTCTCCCTCTTCCTTCCTCTTTGAAATCAATTAAAATATATATGTATATTTTTAAAATCTTCCTAAATTAAATAGTATATCTTTTCTAGTACACAAAATAAATTACATCCTAACTCTATGTCATTAATCCAACCCAAAGTCCCATTCTACTGTCACCCCTGAACAAAGCAAATGTCAAAAATAACCATTTTTCTTACCTTGCCCTCCCATTTCATCCACCGGGTTTTATCTTCCACAAGCTCCTGCAGAAGCCGCTGAGCTCCGAAGGTCCGAGTGCCCCGCTCTCGTCCCCAGAGTATGCGGACAGCATTTTTCTCTGGAACAACCTTCATGGTGCTCAGTAGCCACTGTAACACCAGGCACAGGAAGAAAAGGAGCAAGCAATAGCTCCACCCGCTGAAGCAGCTAAAATGAGGCCATTAAGGTCCTTGAAAGTTGTCTTCATGGAAATCTAAAGTATGAACATTAATGTCAAAGATCAGGTATTTTGCAAAGAAGCTTCCCATTGCAAATACGAATCTAGCCCAAAGAGGAAAATATTCTTTTCATATTTAATTAGAGGCCAGTGCACGGAATAGGTGGGGTCCTTAGGCTTAGCTGGTAATCAGGGTCTATGGGGGCTGTCTCGCCCAGTTCTGATCGGGGTTGGGCCAGCCAGGGCCTGCCAGCTGTGGGACCGGGCCTGCTGGACTGGGGGAGAAACCAGAAGAGATTGGCTGGTCATGGGAGGTTGGCTGTGGGAATGCAATGACCACCAGGAGGCAGCTCCTGTGTTAAGCGTCTGCCCCCTGGTGGTCAGTGCACATCATAGCGACTGGCCGACCGATAGTTTGGTCGTTTGGTGTAAAGGTCACATAGGCTTTCATATTGTACATAGACTAAAGGTCCAGTGCATGAAATTAATGCACGGTTAGGGTCTCTAGCAGCTGCTGGACAGGGGCACCTCCCTTCCCCTGGGCACCTGCCACCAGCCCCATACCCTAGTTAAACTTTAGGTAGAGGGGACAATTTGCACATTAGGCTTTTATTATATAGGATGACACTTTCTGAGAAATGATCCTTCCCCCAGAACTTTTCTTCCAAAAATATTTCTTCCTTAAATTCTGCTCATATCCTCCATAGCTCAGCCTTTTATGTAAAGAACAGACCATTCTACTCTTATTTTATCGGACAGGAAGAACTTTTGCTACTAATAAAAAGGTCTAGAAGCTTATCAAAAATAAGACATTACTCTTCTGTGCCATGCTGCTATCCTAGTCGCTGGCACCCCTCCTTTCACTTGGTCAATCTCCAAACTAAAGGACAGGTAACAGATTTGAAAAGGCTATTATTACCTACGGTATGACTCTTAGTAGTAACTGCCATTCTATTTCCTACCTAAAAGCAAGTATGTGAAGACTACTTTGGAGTACCTTTCTCACTCTATTTTTCTCTTCTCCACTAAAGTTCCAAAGTAGAGAATAGAGGACAGAGAGAAAAAATTTTCAGTTCCTTTTTCTCATCCACAACTCCTAAGAACATAAAATTGTCACAAATAAAAGTGCTTTCAAGGTATCAACTAGCAGCAAAATACATATATATATATATATATATATATATGCAAAAATTAAAGAACTGTGGCTCCTCTATACAATGAAATATGCAGCCCATTAAAATGGTGCTTTAAAATAATATGTATGTTATTTGTTGCAGCACTTTCTTCAACTTTATTATGAAAATTTCAAATATACAGAAAAAGTTTTTAAAACAGTAAAACATACACTATTCACCACGCAGACTCAAGAAATTTTAATACTTTGTCAAATTTGCTTTATCTAACTCCATCAACATGTGTTTGTTTGTTTTTCCTGAAAAACACTCTGACCTTATATACCCCGTTATGTATGTCCTAATAATAAGGACATTTAGCTTCATAACCACAATACCATTATCACACCAATTATCTATGTAATACTCGGTCTTCATTAAAATTTCCCCTAAAATTCCTTTAATAAGTTGGCTAGCAGAAACCGGTTTGGCTCAGTGGATAGAGCATTGGCCTGCAGACTGAAAGGCCCAGAGTTCGATTCAGGTCAACGGTATGTACCTTGGTTGTGGGCACATCCCCAGTAGGGAGCATGCAAGAGGCAGCTGATCAATGTTTCTAACTCTCTATCCCTCTCTTTCTCTCTGTAAAAAGTCAATAAAAATATTTTTTTTAAATAAGTTGGCTATTTTTAAAATCCAGAATTAAATCAAGACTCAAACATTGAATTTGGATGCCATGTCTCTTTAGACTCTTTTATTCTAGGCCTAATGCATGAAATTCATGCAAGAGCAAGCCTTCCTTCCCCTGGCTGCTGGCACTCGGGACTCAGGCTTCCCTCACAGCCCCAATTTTGTCAAGAAGATGGTCTGGAAGGACATCTGATCTAATTAGCATATTACACTTTAATTATTATATATGGCCTTACGTTTGTTTTGGTTGATTTTGTTTCTGTTTACACAAGTTTTTTTGGTGTATGTGTTGTTGTTCTTACAACACAAGCTTAAAAAAGACCAAGATAGTTGACTTCTAGAATGTCTAGCATCCTAGTTTTATTTAATTGTTCCTTCACAGTGCCATTTAGAATTGCCTCTCTATCCCTTATATTTCCTGTAAACAGGTTAGGTCTAAAAAATACCGATTAGCCCTAACCGGTTTGGCTTAGTGGATAGAATGTTGGCCTGCTCAAGGGTCCCAGGTTTGATTCCAGTCAAGAGCATGTACCTTGGTTGCAGGCACATCCCCAGTGGGGGATGTGCAGAAGGCAGCTGATTGATATTTCTCTCTCATCAATGTTTCAAACTCTCTCTCCCTCTCCCTTCCTCTCTGTAAAAATATAATAAGATATATTTTTAAAAAACACTGATTAGATTTAGGTTTGTTTGTTTTTTAGAATGCTTCATGGGGGATGCTATATATAAACACCCTGGTATAGTACATCAGGTGGCACATATCCTTAGACTGCCCCACGTAGTCAGACTTGGTAACTTATGTGGTAACTTGGCAAAACATGATTACTTGGTTGGATTTGTAGCAGCCAGAAAGCTCTCTTAATAAAGGTGTATTTCTCCCTTTACAATGAAAATCTGTGGCTAATATTTGGCACCATGTGAATATTCTGTTCTTCCTCGACCTTTTGCTTACTGGTTTAGCAGTCATTCATGCTTTTTTCTTGAACTGTTTCACTTGGGGGAAGATTTTCTAATATTATTTCTACATTAGCTGGCATTCTGAAAAGAACTGACCTTTAATAACTGAAGCAGATTAAATCCTTACTATTTAGCCTTTAATAATTACTTCTTTCTTATTGTTTATAATAAGAAAAATTGGGGACAACTCAAGTGCCCATCTAAAAGGGATTAAATGGCCCAGCCAGTATGGCTCAGTGATTGAGTAGTGTCTCATGCACCAAGATGTTGCCAGTTCTAAACCAGTCGACTTGCAGGCTCAATACTGAGCAGGGGAATGTGGGAGGCAGCCAACCAATGTTGATGTTTCTCTATCATGGATGTTTCTATGTCTCCCTCGCTCTCCCTCCCCTCTCTGAAAGGTAGATAAATGACTAATCTACATAAAGAAGATTCTCTGGATACTGACAACAAGAGACCTCCAAGATACATTGGTGTGTGTGTGTGTGTGTGTGTGTGTGTGTGTGTGTGTTTTAATATATTTTATTGATTTTTTACAGGGAGGAAGGGAGAGAGATAGAGAGCCAGAAACGTCGATGAGAGAGAAATATCGACCAGCTGCCTCTTGTACACTCCCTACCGGGGATGTGCCCACAACCAATGTACATGCCCTTGACCGGAATCGAACCCGGGACCCTTCAGTCCGCAGACCGACACTGCGGCCCATTAACAATGTATTAAGATACATTGTTAATGGGGGGTGGAGGGAAGCAAGGTACAGATCACTATATATAGTAATGCTATCATTTGAATAAGAGGAGAACTTAATGGTCGCTTATTAGGAACTGAAGGAACAAGGTGAATGAAAACAGAGATGGAAGCAAGACTTCCACCTTGCTTGTTTGTTTTATGTCATTTTAAAATTTTTGAAATATATTACCTATTAAAAATTTATTTTTGAAATATTTAATTATGTGAAAAATACATGTTAAGTGAAAAAAGCAGGATGCAAAATTATATAAGTGGTATAATACCAATTTTATTTTAAAAAATACATTAGAGAATAATGACATCAAAGAAATATAAAAAGATACTAACAAGATTATCTTTGGATGGTGGGACTATAGGTGATGTAATAATTAGAAAATGCCTTATTCTTTTTACTTTTTAAATTTAAGAATGCTTATTGTAAAAAGTCAAACAACAAATTGGCACTTTACATTTTATGAAAGGTGGCAATCTAAAAAAGTACACAACTACATTCATCCAAATACTCAGAAGAAAAAATATTTATAGCCTCTGCTGAAAGGAGTTTTCTCCCTGTAATATTAAAATGTAAAAAATTGGGGGTGGGGTGGGGATTGGTAAGGTATGTACACATATAATACCTTAATTTAAAAAATGAGGGGGGAAAATTACACTTTTGGGTATATGCCAAAAAAAAAAAAAAACTGAAAAAAATAAATAAATAAAATAAAATGTAAAAAATAAGAAAGATTCTATGGAAAGACACAACTCACATGTTCCTAGTCAGTTACAAAACACAGTTCCCTATGGAGTGACAAAGGAACAAACTCTAGCCTTTATTCTCATGATACAGCTCTCATCCCTCATCAGTGCATGATATATGTATGTACACACTCAAAATGTCAACATGCTGTAAGCCAACCTTCTGAATAAACCAATGATAAACTAACTAGAAGGAAACAATCTCCTTGGTGACTCTGACACCTCATGGTTTAAAACCAAAAGTCTGGAAGTGAAACTGCCTCGTAGCTTAATAATTACTAACCAGTAACGTGCAGCAATACAGTTCCCATTAGTTCACCATAACCCTTTACTGAGTCTAAAACTCTTTATGAGCCTATAATTCTTTAACCTAATAGAGAATTTCTGAAAAAATTAGTTTTGAGGATTCCTTAACCTAACACTGCAATATAAATGTACTTTCTAAGAAATAATTTTAAACTATTTATAATCTTTTAAATTAGCAGCAGTCTAATTCCAAAAAAAATAAAAAAATAAAAAATCTGATCTTTAACTTCATGTAATTCATGAAGAAAAATATATAGGTCGCAAACATCAACTGATCCAGAAAACTGTGATTCAACCTGGATTTTCTACAGGAATCAAAAGGAAGATAAAAGAACTGCTATAAACACCAGTTATCAAGAAATCT